TCTGGATTAATGGTATAAGGACTCTAGCTATATTCGATGTACTTGGTGGATCAAATAGGTTAATTCCTAAAAAAATGCATTTGCAATGATTATAATAATTTACATCAGTCATAAAATTTCGAACGAAGATATAAATAATATATTTTTTTATTGTTTTATTAGTATTAGTAAGTACGGTAAAACTCAGAGGCAAAATTTTACACATTTCTATACCAATTTAACGAAAACCTTAAAAAAAGTCCTTTTCAGAATAGCGAAATAATATATTAACGAAAAATGCAATTTAAATTTATTTGATTGAAGCTATAAATCTTTTAGGTTGAATGTTTATGGCTAACGTATTTATACCAGAGTTAAATTATATCAAGCATGAGATGTATAGTATCTTATTATAGTTCATAAACTATATATTTTTTATTTTCATATATTATTTACTAGTGACTTACCCACACTTCGCTCGGGCGTCCCTAGGTATGTTTTAATTTTTTGAGCGGAACTCTATTTCTTTTTCTATAATAAAAAATAGCCTTAGTTACTAATCAGAACATCAGCTATCTGTCAATGAAAGTCCCGTCAAAATCAGTGCAGCCGTTTCGGAGATTAGCCGGAACAAATAAACAGACAAACAAAAATTAAAAAAAATCTTATAAGTACCGTATATACATAATTTCATATGCATTTAGTAAAAAGTTCTTATTTTAACATTACAAACAGACATTTCAATTTTATTTATCTGTATAGAAGATCAAGATCTTAAATCTGTATAAATAATGTATTGCTAAACCTTACAAGTAACAACTTAATATCTATGCGATTGTATTGTTATTTACTAGATACAAATGTAAAAATAATCTGTCACTGTCAAACATATATGTCAAGGCAGACAAGTAGGCAGACAAAACTGCCAGTTTTATGGGATGGCTTTGTTATCTTGTAAATAACCGTGTGCCATATGCTGAATATGGTGTGTGTGTGTGTGTGTGTTATTAATAAGTATAGCCGCTATATATAAAGCTTAGGTATAACTTATAAGCTTAGATATTTTACATAGGTAGTAGTAGAGTTAATTTTTGACCTACCAAAGAAATCAGTCCAAATTGTCTTGTATGTCGCTATGTCAATAGTTTAGTTTAACTTTTACACGTATGTATCAGCCATTTTTAAAGTTCTACAGCTGGACACGGGCCTCCTTTCAATACAAAGGGAGTCCACCACGCTGCCTAAGTGCGGGTTGGTGGACTTCTAGACTAGGTTCTCTCAGACAGAATCAAAGAATGAAATACCATAGCCTTACATATTTTACTACCCACATCTTTGTATCGCTTTATTTCATAAATATATTTATAATTACAAGGTATTTCGAGCCTATTGCGGTGTAAATTTTTATTATATTGTATGCAAATTACATTCATTTTTAATAAGTAGAGAATGATATTTATGTATATTTCTTATTGTTCTTTTTGTTACAAATAAAAGTCACGCCGTATGTATGTTTATCGTATTCATTGTTTCGTATGTTATTTCGCCTTCATTCATTATTAAAATTGTTTCTTCATTTCTAGATACACCTATTTATTTCGATATTTAAAAATGTAAAATGTCATTTTTTTTTAAATATACTATAATATGATATACGAGTATTCGAATTATATTTTTAATATTTTTACGTATAATATAGATACAATTCTTCATTTGATTTAGGATCTGTCTTTAATCTATTTATCTAAACCTTAAATAATTAATACTTGAAAGAGTTAGTTACAGAACTCGATAATGTCTTGCAATATTCTATTGAATGCATTAGTTTTCTCTTGTGCATCCTCATATTATCTATAGAGATAAATAAAATTGATGTGTCTGTTTGTAATGTCAAAATGACAGCATTTACTAAATGCATATGAAAGTATATAGGGTACTTATAAGAAAAAAACCATTTTTAAAATTGTTGTCTGCCTATTTCTTTGTTCCGGCTAATCTCCAAACCGGCTGGACTGATTTTGACGGGACTTTCCCTGGCAGATAGCTGATGTTATAAGGAGTAACATAGGCTACTTTTATTTTAGAAAAGGAATTAGGGGTCCGCGCAAAAAAAATTGTATCCATGAAATTAAGAACAAAATCCGAAAATAAATAAAATAAAACTATGATAGGCATAGATTTCTCAATCTCCTAGATTCTCAGATATCGATGGCCAGTCCACTGGATATGTGGACCGTTGAACTGGTTTCAACTCTATCGGTCTAGAAATCGTTTTCTAGTAATTCGATCATGCGTTTAGTAATTAACTTTAATTTGCAAAGCATGCTATGTTAACAGCGGATAACAACAATAAGATTATTTTATAAGATTTAGAGGTTATTCTCATGCTTCGCATGCTTGTGTTTACTTATACCAAATGATTACGTGCTCCATTTTTAGTGACCTGTATTTTGTATATAAATATTTATATTTTTACTTCATATATACATTATTTGGTAACATCTTGTAGTAGAACGTTTGCCTGAGAGTCGTTTGTAATTTGTATGACAAGTATAAACTTTTAACATCGGCTTTTAACATAGCTAGTACATGCGTATATTACTCCACAATACTGAATAAAAACTAAAGAAGAATTACGTAAATCGGATCATAAATCTCAGCGTAATCGGTGTACATACATAAAAACTACCAATCGGATTGAGAACCTTCTCCTTTTTGAAGTCGGTTAAAAAAAAAGAACACTAAAAGTTATATAATTTATTATATTGCAAAATATTGATTATTATTCATTACTAGCGACTCACCCTCGCTCCGCTCGGGTTCGTCCCTAACGTGGGCCACCCTTATCACTTAGGGGTATGGAAAATAGATAGTAGCCGATTCTCAGACCTACTGAATACGCATATAAAATTTGGTAAAAATCGGTAAAGCCGTTTCGGAGGAGTACGGTAACTAACATTGTGAAATGGAAATTTTATATATTAGATGATATAAATTATATATTAATAATTTATTTGCAATAATATTAATGTTATTTTTATATGTATATCAATTTTATTTTTTACTTATGTAGGTAATACATTCACTTATAAACACGACATCGTAAAACCAGCTGCCCTAACATCAATCAAAACGCGATGCTTCCTTTACGCAATCACTATCGTAAACCACTTTACGTTTGTGGTAATCGAAAGTAGTTCACTTAGATTTTTATACCAATAATAAATTGTACCAAATTATATTTGATTAGCGATATTTTTTTAAATTTAGAATATCGGTATATATACTTTAAAAAAAAGTTTCTATGTATGATTTAAAATTTACCTTTTAAGCTCATTTGCACGATACCATAGTCCGTAATGGCTGAACAGACTAAAATGGGATTTTCTTCGCAAAAAAAAACGTTGGACCGAGAGTGTCATACATAGTGTACTTTTTATCGCATGAAAAAAATAGATCATACGGGGTGGAAACTAGTGCTTTACCGTATTTAACGAAACTTTCACCGGCGAGTAGAAGAATCAAGTGATAGCGGACATAAATTATTTTTAACTGTCGTATGTTATATCATAATCGTCGAAAGTTTAGGAATAGTAGTTTAGTTAGTCGTAAAGTAATAAAGAAGGCGTTATATTAACACTAGCATTGCCCGCGGCTCCGCCCGCGTTCAGATGACCAAAAACCAAATTCTTAGGTTTTACATATTAGTATACTATTACATTGCAGTTTTTGTATTTTTTCTCAGAAATGAGACATTTTCCCGCGGTAAAAAGTATCCCATATTGACTCGGATAACCTATCCCTCCCGTGGTTATTCTGTGATGCGGTAACAAACAGACAGATAAAAATTCTAAAAACTATAGATTCGGCCTCTGTATCGATAATAATGTTTATTTCAATAAGATTTTCCAAAAAATATTTAATGTACAGATTCGGCTTAGTTACAATTTTATTATATGTATAGATTATGTATATATGCTTAGTTTACGTCTTCTGTATTATCAGCGCCATAATTGTTTGAACCAAACACCAGTGAAAGTGCAACAATAACAATAAATGTTAAAAACTGGCTTCTGTGCGCGGAATACACTCAATTATCTAATTATTGCGTCACGATACAGTATGCATTGATGGACTCTTGAGCCCCACTTGTTTCCTCATGGCCTGATGACTTGTGCAATTCGTGCTTACACTCCGTAACGTATCCGTTCTTATAAGTTCTATATTTTCATTATCGAACATTTAAACAACACGTGTGATAATAACTTATGGCAATTTAATTATGATATAAAATGATTTAATTAAAGCTATTGATAAATAATAAATAATGCTCTGAATTTGCATTCGATTGAAATAAAATATTCCAATCACAAACAATTATTAAAATGTCAGGAATGGCTTGATATCAAGGCTGTTGGAAAATAAAAGTTGAACCTGTACAGGTAATGAAATACAAAGATAATTTACTCGGAACGTTTTTAAACAAACTGTGATCGAGATATGTATAAAATATTTTTATGGAGCTTACATAAGTTTGTCATTTGTTTTATATATCATAGCGTTGGTGTGATTCACAGCTTGATGACCTTATGAGTCACATTGTCTTGACTCTTGTATCATTGGTTAAGCACATTATTAAAAATCCTACACGTTATTAGTTCTACCGCTTCAATAGACAGAAATAAATGAAGGTCTAATATTTAATCGGTATACTAAAATTATATTAATAGTTATATAAAGTAAATTGAGGTCAATATTGGAATCGATTAGTATGTTCAAATACTACCTACTTATTGTTGTAGCATGAAGTAAAAAAAGCAATTTGTTTCTCAGGGTCTACGATAACATAAAAAATGAAAGTTTGTAATTTGAATATATAATTGAAAAATTCAAAAAATGAAACGAAATATATTGAACACGTGTTATAGTACGCATAACTTTTTACATGTCTGCAAAATTTCAAGTGTATCAATGGATCTTAGAACATTATGAAAATAAAACATTATCCAGGAAAAGTGGTCATGGAGGACCCGTGGCTTTCTATCAATGACAGAACTATGGACCTAGTTTATGCTGCCAACTGGGTTGGAGCGAACAATTTAAACAGTTATAAAGAGGACGATGAACAGTCAAACAGCTCCAAATTCAATTCAATATCTAGAAGCAAATCTTGCCGTGACGTAGGACGTAGTGTAGATAAAGAAGAGAATAACAATACCTATTTACAAGCAAGTCAAAGTTACAAGTATAATCACAATGGTGGCAATGAAAATATTTCTCAGTTGGCTAAATATCAACAAGATATTGAGGAAAAGGCACGATCGAACCAAAATTTTTTGATGCAAAATAAATTAAAACATAGTTACAGCTTCAAAGATATGCCAAATGGATACAAACCGTCAACATTACGAAGAGTAAAAAGAAGGAACTTCACTGAATGGGATATTGAAGCTTTTGGTACTAATGACCGACATCCACCTCCTGTTCCACCTCAAAGAAAGGAGTCTTTGAAATATGCACATCGCCAAAGAAAAGTCGATTCCAAAAAAAATTGTTATCCCCTTCCTGATCCTGGCCCGGTACCACCCGACCCATCTTCAGAATCATATTACGAATATTATGCAAGAGTCAGTCAACAAAACAATGATACTGATAGTGATAAGATTAAACTAATGCAGAAGAATCCCAAAAAAGAAAGAAATGTCTTAAACGGTGATATGAAATCTAATGGTACAGTTCGTGGATATGGAAATGATACAATGTACCAAATAATTAATTCAATGGCAACATTAGATTTAACACCAATCAAATCTAGAACAGGAAATAAGAACCTCGACATGGATAGTGACGCGGAAGATCTAGGTTTATATATGCATCCTATTAATGAATCTTTATCAACATGCGAACCACTTCCTCAACACACAACGCAACCTGACAATGAACGGAACGGACGTACAGACAGCATTAGACCAAGTTTTCGGTCAAAATCTTTAAGAGTAAAAAGCGAAGGAAGGGCGCCTCTACGGGCTTATCTTGATACAACAGACCATGAAATTAATGCATACAGTGGTGTTACTGTTACACAACCGAAGCGAAATCTCTCTCCAAGTGAACAGCTATCTTTAATGCAACGCGGAATGTTTCGAGGAAGCCACCCTCCGCCTGTTCCTGTAACTGGGAATGGATTTAAATCAATCGACTTAGGAAAAGAAAGTGATTATCGGACTACAAACGGTGCTAGACATATTAAACCGGACAAATACGGGAAGTTATATAACACAGTGAGAGTGAAAAGTGAAGATCGATATGACAGGTACAATGATATTTTGTCGTTTAATTCGGCTAGAGATCGTATTAGTGAGGAACGTGTGATAAATAACAATAGTGTATACTCGCGAAGTGCTAAAAGTTCATCTAGTGGCTCAGATTCTGACTTTTCAATTCCTCGACCGAAACTTATTGTTCCTGTTCATACATATGGAACTCGGAAACGAAGGACCGGAAACCTTTGTCAACGAGATAGTACCGCAACTGAATCGTCCCTAGATGCTGGTATATTACTCGACGTAACCCGATTGGAAGATAATAATTCATTTGACCAAAATGACAGTCGGAATGAGGATTCAGGTAAAATATTATTATTATTTTCTTAATTTTACATAATTTATGGTAAAACGTAACATCTTGATAATGTAATCTTTATCATGTAAATCATATGACGTGAGTTACTTGAAGATCGTCGATGACATATTTTGATCGATGTACACGGTAGATATTATATTTAAGCCACAACTCATGTTACGATCGTAGTCAAAATTTCAAGGAAAAAAACATGTTTTCTAACATAGTCAAAATATAACAACTAAACTTTCGATTTTCACTTTAAATAACATTAAAATTTACACGCTTGTCTTTTGGAACATAACATATTTGTAAGAGAATGTCGAATTCACAACTTTCGATGTACAAATATTACAAATAAATATAGTATCTGTGGTAGATAACTGAAATGGAATGTTTATTTTATGTATTGTAAAATGCACTTTGAATAACATCTTATATCAGTTTTATTAGAATGTCTCTGCTTACCATCTGTCATCATTTGCTATAACATATTTACCAAGTGGCAAGTACTTAGATTGTTAAGCAAACTTATGCACGTGTTAATTGAGACTTGTTTGTTCCACTTTAGCATCAAAACGGTACGAGCGAAATAGGATAATTTATTCATTGAATAAGAATTAGTTTTATATTTGCTTAGATTGTGATTTTGGACTATTGAAGTCATCACTTAAATAATTTCATAAAATAACAAAACTTCCATCTTTTTGTGTATATGAGTTTGTTGAATTAATTAACTACGTAGTCATGCTATTTGCATACATGAAGCATAAATAGATTTGTTTATATATATTTTTTTGACAATTTTTTCGCGAAACACTGTACCTATACACATTCTTATACAGAATGTTTTTGAACTTTCGACCCGTAATATTATGCGAGTCACCTTGAAACACTTTCATTTGCAAAGCTAATAATTTGCCTTCGCTTGGCTCAGCGATCATATAATGTGTCCTGTATTTGAATGTTATTCGTATTATGGCTTCGTAATTACCTATTCATAAAATAAGAATTTACATGGCTTATTTAAATTAGCATTATATTATGTAAAAAAAAACATTAATGTTGCAACTTTTTGAATTTAAAATATATTATAATAATATATGTGTTTTTTTTCTATACTAATATTATAAAGAGAGAAAAGTTTGTGAGTTTGTGAGATTGTAAGTTTGTCAGGTTGTAGCGGGTAATCTCTGGATCTATTGAACCGATTTAGATGAAATTTGGTAAGAACATAGTTTGAGACCCTGGAAAGGATATAGGTTACTTTTTATCCCGGAAATAACCTCTTAAGGGGATGAAAATGGGGATGAAAATTTGTATTGGGAAGCAAGCTAGGAACGAACCCGAGTGAAGTGAAGGTGAGTCGCTAGTCAATCATAAAAAAAGCAAATCGTTTAAACTACATAATAATAATACTTATAAACTATTATAATAAATAATATTATTTAGAATTTTATACAAAATGGGAAGCTTTTGTACAAAATTAATTGTGAATTGAATTGTAATCGCAATTTAATATAAAAGAGAAAAATTATTTTAAAATAAGTAAAATTTTACAAAGCTATTATTCTAAGGTATTGAACTGTTTTAACGCAAATGAATGAAAACAAAGAACAATGTACCATCTACCCCGCCTCTTGTTCGCACGCTCGTTACCTTGGATCGATTGTTGCTCGTTGCTGCTATTTCAATTTAGTATGTAGTATAATAGATATGTATATTCATTAAAATAACATTAGTTTCATGTTTTTATACAAAATCCCATAAAATTTTAAAATCTGCCATAGATCAAAAGTTTAAGGTTACAACTTACAATTCATATTATTTTTTATATTTATAATTCTTCAATGTTCAATGTTGCCATTTGCATAAAAAAAGAAAAATATTACGACACGGTTATTATTTATTTAACTTACTTATTATATTTATAATTAAACTACAAATTTTGCAATATCCCGTCAAGATTTCTAACAAGACTGGTTATGAGTCAGCCATGAGAAACGACTTGTGTCTGCATTAAAATAGACATTTATGGTTGTATATCAATAAAACAGTTCCGTTATCATATATTTTGGTTATTTTATAAGTTCTTTGGCTTACGTAAGACATGAAATCAGAAGCACATATATTGTTTTTGTTGAATGAAACTCAACAAACATAGTTGAGTTGAAAAACTTTGGGTTTCTAAAAAGTTACTTAACGTAGCTTGGCTTAGTTTATTTCTTAATATTTTTTAAAATATCCTGCCGACTTTTAACTTTTGGATTCCAGAGTTGACTTTGGTTAGCAAATAAGCATAGTAATTCAAATGAATAGTTAGTAGGCGATACGGTGCTATGGAATCTGCCAATAAGGCTTTTGCTATTTTATAATTTTACGAAAATAATTTCATAGATTAATTATCAACGTCTACGTTTTTATAAATTAGTGTTAAAATAATAATAATTATGCCTTTTTATCGTTCCACTGCTAAGCCCGGGTTTTCCTTCAATGAGAAGGCCATAGTTCACCATACAAGTTTAAATTTGAACATCTTTCAAAACTAATTAGATTCCCTCAAGACTGTAGGTCTTATGTTTTCTTTCACCGTAAGGCAAGTGGTAATCATGTTGAAAATGATTCGCACATGAAAATTTCAGAAGTGCGAGATCCAGGGTTTGAATTTGTTTTTTTATTAATTTTATTAAACATTTTAATAATTTTATTAATTTAATAGGAATTTCCAGAAAGCACCACTACCTGTTGCCGTTTGAGATACCTAAATAAAATTGCATATCTTTTTTTAACAGAGGGAAGAGTGGAGGTTTCACGGGAGAACAAGTACCTCAGTACGATGGCACCCGGCAAGGTGTTCGGTGAACTGGCCATTCTGTACAACTGCAAGAGAACTGCCACCATCAAAGCCGCCACCGACTGCCGGCTGTGGGCCATCGAGCGACAATGCTTCCAGACCATCATGATGAGGACTGGCCTTATCCGACAGGCTGAATACACAGATTTCCTTAAGAGGTTAGTCATAGAAACTATATTTCGATTTTAAACATTTTTGTAGCACCTTTAGGTGATATTTCAGACTGAAAACTTATTATGAAAACTTATTATAAACAAAGGTGAAAATATGATTAAAATCGTTTCAGTACATTCAGAATTATATAACTTGTGAAGTAACCCTGACAACATTTTTTTTAAATGTCTAAAATGATCTACTGAAGAGATATTTAACATGTAAATAAATACATTATCCTATCGTACAAGTTTTACAATCCGCACTTTTATCAGTTTGTTTAATTCTTTCATGCAACAGTCGTTGCTCTTAACTTACTGATATCATGTCTTTGGCTCGATGCTGACAAACGTTGCTTTGTACCAGGTGAATCCCAAATCCCCTGGGCTATTAGATTCTACCAAAAAGTAATTTCGAAACACAAGCAAAGCCGGTGCAGTTTATTAGTTCATAAGTAGAAAAACATGATTTTAAATCTTGATTAAACTTGTTGATGATCACAAAAAGCAATCTCTATAAGGTGTTACATACATCCTGCATTATTTGTTAATGTTACTTTACGTAATCAAAACATAAACGTGCATTACAATTTACATAGCTTAGCTACAGTACAAATGAGCAAATCTAAAAGTATTTTCGACATACAAAATATAATTTACTCGATGATTACTTTTTAAATGTAAATATAGCGAAGTCATTACTATCATTCGTCAAGAATTAGATAAGTACGTATATCTCGAGTTTATATCCGACTTTCGTTCGAGTTTAAAAATCTATTTTTGTTAGAGCTATTTCAGTATAATTTTTAGAGAGACGCGTTGTTTATATCGTTGCGGTCATTAGCATCGTCAGACAGACCACTATTTTAAGCAGTTAATAAGGTTTTCGGTTTATTTTTGTGGTGCACGCTCTTTCTTCCGGTTGTTTACGTAGTGCTATCAATGTTTACTTTTACACTTTCGAATCTTTGTTCTATTTTCAAGTACACATTTATCCATTTGTTTTTATTCATTGTTCAAAGAATTCTTTAAATGAGACGATGTTTGTAAATGTTTATGTATATGCAAACAAGTTCTGACATTTTAACAGTGTATTACTATACAAGTACAATATGCTGAAAACCACTTGTGAAGGATATTTTAAATAATTTAAAATGTTAAATGCTCCGTAAAAATTTTTATAAAATTAAAAATTAAAAAAAGTACACAGACGATGCCAGGGCAAGCTTTTAGTTATATAATAACGTAATTTTTTTTCTATACCTACGCCATAACAAGTTATTGCTGTACACTATAGTGGTTACTTTATCAAACGTTAAATATTTGAGATTCTTGACAAGATTTATGATGAAATAAGATAACCGCTGTCATTATGAATGTTATCAGTATATTTTCCATATTTAATTTGAATAAAAAATAACTATAGTATCTTGAATAATATTCTATTGAATTTCATTGTAGGAAATATGTAAATTGCGTCATATTATTTTACTAATACGAAACTACATTATCCCTTACATGCTGTAAGTGTAATGATTATACCAATCATTACACTTACAGCATGTGAGGGATATCATAATGATGCATATATAATACCTACGTTAGACCCGGTCAGTTTATGACAATGCGTGGCGTTAGAAACTGCCACCTAGCACGCAAATCGCAATGTTTTGATGTACATAGCTATAATAAGAACCTAGATTGTTGACACGAAGCAAAAGTGAGTGAATTCTAGCCTATTTACTAAATAATAGCAACACTGTAATAGTAGTACCTGTACTGAAATATTAATTTAAATAATTCTCCCACATATACATAAGTAAATGAACTGGTAGTAGACTCATGACGTTCATTAAAGAATTTTAATAATTTAATGCTGAGTAAAATATTTTGAGTTTGAGTTAAAATCAAGTGTTACCATCACTTAAATAAAATTCACCAATAGTTCAAGCAAGAAGTTTAATATATTGTCTACAAATTTGAAGTAGGTACTCTTATCCTGTTATGTATATGAAACAATTTAGATAAAATGCAATCTTTATTTTGTTGGTAAGGTCGTTGAACCACGGCACTTATGCAAATTCAATGGGCGCGCAATATCCTATTCTTCTGCGTTTAAGCGCCGAGCTGTAATTTGTCGTCTCCACTTCACAATATGTAATGGTATATTCTGAATATATACAAGCTAAAATAACTAACAATGGATATTAAATAATCTAAAAATTCTAATTTATCTATATATGTATAATGTCATCGAGCCTTTCTTTTAAAGGATTCAACATAATATCAAAACTCTAAAATTAAAACATTTTATAAATTTTAGTAGGAACTATTATAATTTTTAAACAAATGTTATATCGGTTCGGAATCTGTTAAAGTATTATATCCTTGGGGAGTAAATTTTTTCTTAAATTTATATTGAGCAAATATACATTATACACCCTGTCCGTATGTATCCTTTTTAGAACAGCCTATCCCTTAAAACATCGCTTTCCCGTATTAAACACCTCTTATTTTGAAATCGGTGAAAACGTATCAATTGATGTGTGTTTATTTCTCTAAAGTTATATTATTTTAATTGTGTCACATTACGGAATGTACCTACGCCGTTTCTATGAATCCTTCTTGTAACCTAGTGCATACAACAAAGTATGCGTCATATTTAAATTTTAACGTGACTTGATTTTAAAACATAAAAAATTAAAAATATAATATACTAGCAGAACCCGCGGGGCCGCGGCTTCGCTCGCGCTAGAACTACAAAAAATCTCTAAAAAGGTAGTTTCATACAAACTTTCATCCCCTATTTTACCCCCTTATAGGAAGAATTCCGAAAAACGCTATTCATTTCATTCTATTCATTATCCAACTATCTCCACACAAAAAATCACGCCAATCCGTCACTCCGTTTTGGCGTGAAAGAAGGACAAACAAACAAACAAACAAACAAACAAACAAACAAACACACTTTCATATTTATAATATTAAGTATGGATGTTAGTATATTTATTATGAATTATTTATAAAATACTTTGATTGCATTTTTCCTCTTATCATCTGACGATAAACCCCGCATTTATATGCAAAATAGTTACAATATCGGTCTCGAAAACATAAATAACATCAAGAAGACCTTTCCCCAACAATGATATTTACCAATTGCTATACAACATGCAGTATTCATAACGCATATTATACATTTCGCGTTTCAAGATTTTTGTTTTTGTAAATTAAGGTGATTGTAAAACAAAGACATGAAGAAACTGAATGTGTTTGTTGCTTAAGAGGCTCGTGCGATACTTTGCGAAATACTTGTCACGTTGTCGCTCGTGACATTTGAATTTTCAATCCTTTCACTGCCCGAGTACAGTATCATTCTAGGAAGTCTGGACACGAATGCGTCATGGCCACTGACCACACAGCGTTTCCGTTGAAACGTCTCATGGATATCAAAACTTTTTTACCCGACCTGGGAATAGAACGCGAATAATTTATCATTATATAAAGTAATCTTTACTTCGCGTTACTGTATTCCTGAGATTATAAGATAGCTAGATATACACGTAAAATGAGTATAAGAACTTTGAAATAAGCTTTGAGTTAAGCATTTTCCTGTCATCTCAAAGCCGCAAATTTATTCCTATAAATTATTTATTAGACGCTATTTAATTTTATTTGATACAACAACGTCAGATATCTTGCTAAGATACTTGGAGTCAATTCTAAGAAATATAAGTTCATTTAAAGGACAATAAAGTGGACAAAGATGAAGGCGGTCGGCTGTTAATGATGATTATAGAATGTGATCGACGAAGCTGTTTTCCTATTAGCGCTTCCACCGCCTCGACACACTTTGCTGACATATATCTACAATCTACATGTAATTACCTACTTGTCTATCATGCCACTTACTTGCAAATCCAATGGGATATACTGTTATGTAATAGTTGCTTAACTGCATAAAAACTGTTTCAAATGATTACTAAGTAATTTATATTGGAAGACATTTTATTAATATTCTACGGTTTTATTTTTTTTAAGTTAATCTATACTAATATTATAAAGAGGTAAAGTTTGTGAGTTTGTGACGTTGTGGAGGGTGATCTCTGGCTCTACTGAACCGATTTAAATGAAATTTGGTAAGAAGATAGTTTGAGACTCTGCAAAGGACATAGGATACCCGATCCCGGAAATCATCCCTTAAGGGGTTGTAAATGGGTATCAAAGTTTGTATGGGGAATCAAGCTGAGGACGTACCCAGGCGAAGCGAGGGTGAATCGCTAGTCTTATATATGCTTCGATTATTACAAAGGATCTAAGTACTTGCATGATTAATTGGTTTAAATTATAAAGACTTAGAAAAAACTACAGTTAATAGTAAAATAAATGATGTATGTATGTATTTTAATTGCAATAATTACGCGCTAATAATTATCTTAGTTCTATTGAAACCGTGTTTACGTTTACGTGAAGATGACTCATTAAAATTGTTACGTAGGTATCTTTAACTTTATTATGCAAAGAAAAGTTCTTAATTTATTGTAGGTTTTCTCTTATTTGCAGATTTTTGTGGAGTAAGTAAGAGTATTTTATACAAATACTAGCGACTCACCCTCGCTCCGCTCGGATTCGTTCCTAGTTACGCTTTAACGTTTAGTATAGATTTTTCAGAGATGGGATATTTTTCCGCAGTATAAAGTATCCTAAATCTTAACCCGGATAACTAGCTAAAATTGTTTTAGCTAGTTATTCAGCCTTTGTATCGATATTATTGACTATTTCAATAAGATTTTCCAAAAAATATTTAATATACAGATTCGACATAGTTTAAGAATATTATTATATGTATTATATTGAATTGGTTGACCATATTTCGAACATAAATTTGATTGGCGCAAACCACTAGGTGGTCACAGGTTCGGTTTTTTTGCATAGTACTCTATTTAACACATAAAACCTACATCAGTACACTTTAAGAACAACCAGAGTAAAATAGTTGCGTATTT